TAAGGTACATATATGATTTTTAAATATATTCAGAAAAAGTGCACACGAATATCTTATTGAAAAAATTTGCATTGGATTTATATTTTACAAATGAAGAAACCACTACATATGCACAGTGCTTGCTGCAAAAATGATGGTTCCAAGAAAACAGGGACTTATAGTCAACATATCTTCTGCAGGGGGTCTGGCATACCTTTTTAACGTGGCATATGGCATAGGAAAAGAAGCAGTGAGTTCTTTTTATACCCCCGCTTGAAAAGTGGGAGGATATATAGTAATTGGGATGTCCGTCAGTCCGTCTGTTGCACTTTGGGGTACCCATCTCTTATCTGCAACTCCTCTCATACCACTGAATGAAATTAAATGAGACTTTCAAAAAATCTTTATTACATATCTTTATTGTACACCTCCTATTTTACTTTTTGATCCGACACATATTTTTGGTTTCCCATTGCAAAAGGTGGACACTGCCGTTATATTCATATGGGAGGCGGAGTGTATTATTTAGTGAGCTCATTGCTCACAGTACCTCTAGTTTTATATATTAAATTTTGCATACATTTGATTGTGCTTTTTGGTATATAGGTCAACATGATGGGTATAAAAAAGTGGATAATTACCTTCTTGTAAAATTTTGACTTTGAAACTTGTTAAAGATGCTATTGATAGCTTAACTGAATCACAATATAAAAGGATACAATAAAGATCTTTAAAATACACTACGTAAAACACTACGAGGCAGTATCTAAACTCATAAATCTATAAAAATTTTTAAACGTCAACTTTTAATACATGTACATATATATTTGTTAAATTTAATAAATAAATTATATTTCTGGATATAAATTCGAGATAAAAAAGAAAAGAAAATTATTTGCAATTAAAAAAAATATGTAGAGAATACACCCAAAACTGTGATAGAAGTAAAGTACATGTAATCTAAAATATACAAATGTATTATGATATTATTTTTATCATTTATTCCAAGTTCTCTGATTGGCTCAAACTTGATCACATGATTAAGAATATCAGCATAAAGACTTGAGTTACTATTTACTAATAGTATAGGATCTGAAATGCATATCCACTTGATGTTTCTTAAAATGGAAATTATTCTCTGTAAAACAAAAATAGTAATGATTTCACAATTACAGCTAATACAGTGTATATATCTTGATTTAAAAAAAAAATACTTCAACTTGTATTAATATTTTTCTAATGTTCTGTAATTGATGAGACGTAACAAACTAATTAAATGCCATGAATTGGATCTACTTTATATTAAAAATTCTTGAATATGTTTGTCAAAAATAAATGTAGTATTTTGAATAAGTAAATCTTAAATTACTTCATCAATATAAAGGAAACACAAATACATTAAAGAGCTTAATTAATTTAGTTTGATCTTTAGTCTCTACGTGTTAAAGAGAGAAAACTTGTGCCTTGTTCCCATTATTTTCAAATTTAGCTTTGTCAATCTATGTAAAAATAATAAAACAATCCCTTTAATTCGGTCATAAATCGGTATAATAAGTTTGTATAAAAACACGTTTCTTGTACTCTGTAGCTGGACAGAATGGCGGCGGATTGTGGAGTAGAACTTAGGAAACATAACGTGGCCGTGGTCAGTCTATGGCCGGGACCTGTCATGACAGAACACGTGGACCAAATGCTTCAAACCAGCACGAGTGTAAGAATCTTTAAAACATCATCTCATTGCATGTCGACGTTGTAGTAACATTGTCAATATTCTTTTTTATCCCGTGGGGATCCGGGTTAGAATAGGTCCTCAGTACCCCCTTGAGTGTCGTAAAAGGCAACTAAATGGGGCGGTCCTTCGAATGAGACCGTATAAACCGAGGCCCCGTGTCACAGCAGGTGTGGCACGATAAAGATCCCTCCCTGCTCAATGGCCCCGAGTGCCGAGCATAGGCCCAAATTTGCAGCCCTTCACCGGCAATGGTGACGTCTCCATATCAGTGAAATATTCTGGAGAGGGACGTTAAACAGTATACAATCAATCAATCAATCAATATTCTTTTCTTGCGTTTTTAAGGCACGACAAAAGAAGATGTTCGAAGGCGCTGAATCTGTTGAATACGCCGGGAAGTGCATAGTAGCTCTTGCAAACGGTAATGCATGTTGCATGAAATGTTCACAGTTTGATTGTCCTTGAACGATATTTATCAAGAAGAAATTTTACTTCTAGACCCAAACGTGATGAGCAAATCTGGAAAAGTGCTGATGACTCCTGAGCTAGGACAAGAGTACAATTTACGGGACATTGATGGTAAGTAACCTCATCAATTGATTACTAGAACTGATTATAAATTGAATTTCTTTAATTACAAAATTTACTTTAAGTTTATTAACCTCATTTATTTGTTTGAAGATTTCATTTGCAAAATTTCGACAAATAATCGAAGTTGTGGAGTTTAATGACCTTTAACCAGCATTTATTTCAAAGGCTTGTTTTCTTTCCTATAAATAGGTCGTGTTATAGACAGTATGAGACAAATTAACTGGTTGATGGCGCGCAATCCGAACACTGCCTGGATGCAAAGATGGCTTCCAAACTTCTTGAGAATGCCTTACTGGATGTTCGCTTTGAAAGGAAGCAAATTTTGATATGAAAGAGGTGCTGTGTCTTCTGACTACTTGTGGTGCCAAAGTACAAATTGTGAATAATAAAAATTTAGCCGAAAAATACACAGGATTTTTACAAAATACAGAAACGGGTATATAAGTTCACCGATCGATTTACACGCTTCTTTCCAGATATACGTATTTGTGAATATCTACTTTGTATTACTTTTTACAAAGTCAATTCAATGGTTCGTGTTATTTGTTGTGAAGTCGATTAAAAAGAAACGCAACTTGAAATGTGTTATTTTCCTTATACTGTAGAATACAAGTATTAAACATCATCAGTGTTGAGATACTGAGAGCACTGAGCTAACAAAAAGATACACGTACCCCTCTCCCCTAGAAATATAATTGCAAAGTCCATTTTTTTCCTATTCGAAACTCCAAAAAAATTTGCAGACCAGGAGGGGGCTATAACTATATATGAGTTATAAGTGCATATAAGGGTGAGTACCGACTTGTGAGCATGTGGCAAATCTTGTATAAGCAGCTTCAACACTTCTACATCGTCTAACTATATCTACTGTGAAAATTATATCAGATTATGAATTGTATATGCCTCTCCTCTCTGGTCCTCACTTTCGTGCTAAGCGAATGAGAAAAAAAATGGACAAAGTAAACGAGAAGAAAAAAATTTCAAAGAGAATGGTGAGCAAAAATCCAAAACAATAAACAAAGCAAATAAGGAGAAAAGATTTAACAAAAAAGATGAGGAAAAAAATTGGTCAAACTGAATGAGGAGCAAGATTCAGAAACTGTGATAGAAAAAACTGGACAAGGAAAAATCTAGTCAAAAAAATCTGACGTTTTCCAGGCTATTTTCGCGATTTTGATACGATATTTTGCACGTAAAATATCGTAAAAAAGCCTGGACAACGTAAGATTTTTCGGACTAGCAAAAATTAAAATCTTAGAAAACTTAAAGAAAATTAGACAAAGTGCATGAGGAGCAAAATTCAAAAACTGTGAAAAAGATGAAGATACAGTAAAGGAGCAAAAGAAAGAAACTTTGGGAGGAGGATGCAGACATGATGAAGGAGGAAGAGAAAGCAGAAACGTTTATGGTGGGAGGAAAATCAGAAACGAGGGACAACAATTATACGAACACTGTATAAACAGGATAAAAGACCTCGAATACACAAGTTTCTCTGTGGAGAAACCTGTCCACCTTCCTGTGACTAATCACTTCTACTGATGAAAAACTTTTTTTTAACAAGAAGTATGTATTGACATTGATTTTCTCTACAATGCTTTAGATGTATTTAATTTCTTTTTATGAATGTATTTTTAGGAGAGAAAAAGGGGGAAAAAAAGGCCAGGATTTTTTGAAAGAATACAGTTTTTTTTTAAGAAATAACTTTCATAGAAATACTAGCGACGAATTTCACCTGTTTAAAATTTTTTTCTCAATTTTTATTTTTGTACAAGTCTGTTAAGAGATTTATTTAATTTTAAAAAAGATTTCCTTCAACCCTCTTTGATTTATCTTATGTAACCATTTTATCCAGGAGCTTCAAATTATACCAAACAGGTGTAAATAATGGCAGAATTGTGCATATTAGTAATATGTATGATTCATGTTTTTTTTTTCATTGGCAAACATCTTCTTTAATTAAGACATACTGTTAATAAAATGAAAATGAAAAAAGATAATGCATATGGATTCTTATTTACTTTTATTTAATAAGAAATTATGCTTGTTTAATAAATCAATAAATAAATAGTATAAATATGAAAGATCTGGATTCCTATAATCCAATAAATACTGGTAGTATATGTACATCAGATAACATTTTAGTTCTCATGCATTCATTTTAATATTATGAATAATTCTAGTAAGTTTGCAAAAGCAATGCATTCATCCTTATAAAGTGAAATATTGGCACAGCAGAAATGCAGCACCTTATTTTCATCTTCAAATAAAATTAAAAACTTTTGCAGTTCGTGTATACACAAAATTTATAAAAGAAATACTTCTGACATTTTCTACATTTTTAGAGATATCATTTTGCATACAATTGTGTCATATTCAGTAAGTAGAAACTCAGATGTTAATTTTGTGCTTTTCCTTTGTCTTGTCTCTGGTGATTAGCATGGTGTAAGTGTATGTAACATGCAGTTTCAATTCTTTTACTCTTTCATCCACTCAACTTATAAATATAAAAAAGTTTTTTTTGAAAGAAATTGATAGTATTAAAAGTTCATTTTAATGTTGTTGTTGCCAGTTATATAAAAAAAAAACACCCCCCCCCCAAAAAAAAAAACAACATTACAATAACAATTTAAAACTATCATCTCTTTCTTGTAAACAAAAAATCTCACTATATCCTTGATGGTTGAAATACAACATATTTTGGGGGGGAAAAGTCATGACATCTGGAAATCAGTCTGTTTTATTTTTCTCTTCACTTTCTTTTCTATTTGCCCTGTGAATCAGCAGAAGTCCTGTAACAATCAAACTGGCTCCAATCCACCATCGCAGGGAGAGGGTCTCATTGAACAGAGTTACTCCCATCAAGGCCTAGAAAACAATACCAAAAATGAATCCAGAATATTATTTTTCAAGAATTAAGATTATTTCTGTATTCCATTGTAAAACTATGATCCTCCACTGAAGCCCCACCCTACCCCTAAAAGTCAAGTTTTAAACAAACTTAATTTTTTTAACTACCTAAGTTAATAATGACTAATCATGACTTTACTTCTTGAGAAGATTTTTTTCCTTTTCCCATTTTTATTACCCATTTGAGCCCCACCCTACCACCCGGGGTCATGATTTGAACAAATATGAATCTACTCTACCTTGGGATGGATTCATGTAAGTTTCTCATATTCTTACTCAGTGGTTCTTGTGAAGATGATTTTTAAAAGATGAATGCACTTGAAACTTGAATTCACTTTACCCAAGGAGACTTTGTGGCAAGTTTGGATAAAATTGATGCTGTGGTTGTTGAGAAAAGTGAAAATTTTAGAGACACACATTGACATACAGATGGATCTGCACAAAATGTAATCAGAAAAGCCTTCAGTTCAGGTAAGATAAAAAAATAGATAAATAAAGTGCCACGCCACAGCATGATACGCCTGTCAAAAAATTACAATTACACTGTATCTTAAACAGTTAAAAGTGCAGGAAAATCATGTCAACCTTGGTTTTAAGATTTCAATGATTTTTACACACCTTAAAATATTTGTTTATCCATCTCCTGTGGTGTAGGCATTAATTATAACAAATATTGCATCATTCATAGATTTCTATACTGGTTGTGTTAGACCTTGCCAAATGCCTATCATATTAAACAATATCAAATTAGTCTTCACAAGTTAATCTATATCTAATTAATTTTGAAAATAAAAGGCTGGCCACCAAATATAAACTGACCAACAGTTCTTCTGTCTAATTCCCGAAGGACTATGCTCTGAAGAAATGAAAGAGACACGCAGCTAGCCTTCCTACATTGAACACATTAATTAATCTTTAACTGGATGCTTGTCTCTTATTACTCCCAAAAGATTATTGGATCTGCACTATCTACCATAAAACATATAAAACATTAATGATTTTTTTTTTTTAGATTTAATGTCAGTCAGTTTTAAAAATGCAATTCATATGGACATGCTGATTCCATCCCACCCCCATAAAATTAGTTTTTAAGTTCATAATATTATGTAATATCAAAATAGTTTAATATGCATTATCAAATTAGTTTTAATTACCTCTCATCCAATCTAATTAAAATTAGATCTTTGATCCGCTCCAGTTTGATCGCTTTGTGTAGCGATCAAACTGGAGCGGATCAAAGATCTAATTTTAATTAGATTGCCTCTCATCGAATTCATTTTAAAACTTTGGCTAGCCAACAAGAGCTATTTTTAATCCAACAGGCTTACCCATTTGGCCCAATACTCAAGGGATATAGATAGCACCGATGCTCTTACAGCTACTCCTCACACTAAACTCATTAATTTCTCTCTCTAATTTGACATGCAATTTTCTGTTATCAAAATTCTTCTTGACCAGTGCTTGATAATTACACTCATGGGAGTGGTGGAATTTCTCTAACATATATTATATTTGTTATAGATTGCTGTCAAGTACATGTATATGCTAAAAAAAATAAGTATTTTCTTGATTTAACATTTTTCTAATAAGGATAGTGCAATAGTTTTACAATTTTTTGAATGTGTAAATGAATAGAAAAAAAGACATTTTTTTTTTTTAATTTCACTTAAATTAAAGGTCACAGTGACCTTGATATATGTCGCAACTCACCTTCTACCTAAGATGCATAAACTGGCCAAGTTTGATGATTCTAAGTCTAATAGTTTTCTAGTTCTGGACCGGACAGGATTTTTCCATATTTGGCTATAACTTTTTAATTATAGGTCAGAGCGACCTACTTTTTGTGCGCGACACACCTTCTACCTAAGATGTATCAGCTGACAAAGTTTGATAACTCTAGGCCTTATAGTATTAAAGTTATGAGCCGGACACGAGAAAAGCTAACAGACAGACGGACGGACAGACGGACACGAAGCCTATAACATTATACGTCTTAAGACGGCCTATGAAAAAATATTTAAGCAAGCAATTAAATAGAGTCAAAACTTACACTGATAAGGAAGTTGGAGGCTGTGTTTGTAACTGTTGCTTCAGCTGTTGACGAACAGAACTGGAGGGACTTGGTAAAAAGAGTCCACATCATGCCATTACAAACAAATATCAGAGCAAAAAACAAAATCCTCATCACAAGACTCAGCTGAAATGGAAAGAAAATTATGATTTTACAATGTGATTTATATCAGCAAGCTAGACAATATATGTATACAAAATAAAATAATCCAATCAACATGTGCAATATTTTTTAGTTTGAGGACCCTCTATTTTCATTCTCCTGATAGCTAGAGAATTTTTATTCAAAATAAGCAATTTGTCAATTCAGGGTCAACTTAATCAAAATACTTTATAGAAATTGATTTCTTTTTTCCATTCTACTTCCATGAACATAATTATATATAAATATATATGAAGAGAAAATAAAGAGGCAATTAAGTACATGTATTGGATTACAGTAAACCTATAATATTACAGTACTGTACCTGGTGGCAAATGCCACTCCTAATGATGATTTGACAGATGTCCATAATGATGTGGTCACTAGTGGCCAGTTTGGCTGAGACAGAACCGAGGGCTGCCATGACACCTGCACTGACCGCCAGCATCAGTCCTCGGCCATGATTCACTCCTGCCATTACTTCAGATTTAGACCTCTAGTTCGGAGTCCATGTTATAAGTAACTCCCAGATTTACCAATTGACTTGATATTCAGTCTAGAGGGGGGAAAAAGAAACTGTTACAAGTTTTTAAAATGTACCAATCAGGTAGTTTAACAGCTGAAGTATACTATTTAAAGCTTCAGATAATATATCATTACATGATTTCTGATTTCAGTATATTAATTCCAAGTGTACTTCATTCAGGATCAAAAAGAAAAAATGCCTAGATAAAGGTAAACTTTGGAATCTTGAACAACTAATAACTATGTCTCTAATACCACGAATAATGATGAACATTATACATATTTGGAAACCTAAACCACTGTATTTAAGTATGTGTATTGTGTATACAACATGTGTGGTCAATATGACCTAGTTAGTATAAATATTTATTGGGTTTTTTTTTCACAGTTTCTGAAATAGAATATCAGAATAAACATATATTTCTTGTAATTTTTATGCTCCCCGGTTGAAAAATCCCAAAATATATTGTTTTGTCCTGTCTGTCTGTTTGTCTGTTTATCTGTTTGTCTCTCTGTCTGTCTTTTGTCAACTTTAACCTAGTCCATAACTACTGAGTGAGTATAGGGCTGTGGCTTCCATATTTCAGTAGTGTATTCCTTGTGACAAGACCTTTCTTTGAATACAACCAAATTTGACCTCTTGACCTTGGAGTTTGACTTACTTTTACAAAAAAATAACACATATTTACCTTGGCCATAAATTTTGAACATTTGGAGCTAGGGCTTTCATACTTCAGAAGTGTATGCATTGTGACAAGACCTTTTGTTGGTATAAATATTTTTGACCTTTTGACCTTGACGTTAGAGTTTGATCCACTTTTTAAAACTTGAACCTTGGTCATGACATTTGAACAGACAGAACTAGGGCTTTCATATTTCAGGTGTATTCCTTGTAACAAGACAGTGACTTTCCTTTGGTACCAATACTTTTGACCTTGACCTTTGTCATGTATATGAGAGAATAACAATTCAACTCTCGCCATATATGCTGCCATACAGGGACGTCAGTGTTTCACTAACAACATCTTGTTTTAAATGTTGAAAGAGACAAGGATAAAGAAAAATTGAGAGATTTACATGAACGGATACCTGTTTATCTAACGTAAACTAAGCTAGCTATCTTGAATGCAGTCCAGGCAAGTCTTCTTGTTTGCATACCTGACCAGATATAATAATAATATCAATATCTGATTATCATATAAATATTATGTTATCATTACAATAACGGTACATGTATTAATTTAGATGGCAATTTTATTGTCCTCAGTGGTCACCCTTTCAAGTCAAGTTCTCGGAGAGTATCAAGAGAGACAATGGTTAAAAAGACACCCATCTGCCTTATTAGGAATCAAAATAACTATAAACCATAGTTACACTGGGTGACAATCAGCATGATATATAAAAAAGTTGTATTTCCAAGGAAGCAATCTTTGATTTCATGTAGGCTGACATGTTTGAGGTCCGCAGTAAATTTAAAAAAATAGTGTATTAAAAAAGAAAATAATATAATCTGTTATCATGCTTTTTAAATAATCTGATGATAATGACTGAACATGTGTTTTGTTTTATTTGTGAGATAAACTTTATTTTTCATGTATAAATAAAGAAAGGGTGGACTAATCACCAGATACATTAAACTCCTATAATTAAATACTTGATAATATTGAGATAAACACACAGACAAGTTTTAATTATAATGAATGTAAATGAGATTAATTTTTTTTATTGTCGATACAATGATTTATCCTAAGTTTTAATGTGTATTAGCCTTAATTAATAAAACTACGAATATTTTTCGTCAATTAGCGCTCTCAAAATTAAAAGCAAGGATGGCGGAGATCATCGTCAGCATTCAGGCGTATTGTAAAATACTTCTCCATGCTGTCAAACATCCACATTGTTCTGTGAATGGTGTATTACTGGCAGAAGATAGTAAATCAAAGGACCGCAAAGTTTTGAAATTTGTCGACTGTATCCCTTTATTTCATTTAACTCTCAGTCTTGCTCCCATGCTTGAAGCTGCTTTGCTGCAGGTAAATGTGAGATTTTTCGGATAAGATTCTGCTCCAGATGTGTATTATTATCATTGTTCTAAATTCTTAAAGTCATATATAGTTATTTTGACTTCGATTCATGTGTAATTCTTCCTCTAATATTGTTAAACATCAAATGTGACAGAGGAAATTCGAGTTGAGTAATACCGGTGTGCTTTCATTGGCATTTAAATGTTAATTCCATTCAAGTCAGTTTTAATAAGAAAATGTCAAAATATACAAGTGGAATAATGCATTAGTATAATTTAACTTTTGTATGTTTATGAGTGTAAATATTTTTCTTAATCATTCTAAACTTCTGTACAATTTATGTTTTTGGCCATTTCCATCTTTGAAGTGAACCTAGGTTCACTGGATCTTACTATCAATTTCAGATATCAAAAAGCTTCAGTTAAAAAAAAACAAATCAATCAAACAATCAAAGGTGAAGTTGGGTCTTATCAAGTCTGGTACAATCACTAGATTTAGCTAAGTAGCTTGATCTACCTACTTACTATATTTACCTACCTGAGGTAGCTTTATTTAGCTACCAAATCAATTTATTTCTACAAAAAAAGGCATTTTTTCTCAGGGGGTGCAGAAAATCTAATTTTGATGCAATGATCATTTTCAACTTTTTTGAAAACAATTTATGAAAAAATCACTCTTTTGATAAATTTAAAATTCCCGGATAAGGGTACAGAACCCTGGACCAAAAAGGGGTCACTTAAGCCTGTGAAGAATATACATAATGTTGTTTTATATTTCAGATTGATGCATATTGTAAAAGCAGGGGTTATGTCATCGCTGGTTACTATCAAGCCAATGAAAATCTTAGGGACAAAGAGTAAGTTTGATTTTTCCTGCACTCTCTAAGTAGAAGCTCTTATGTTGGTTTTTGACCAAGTAACCAGAGAAACATGTATATTTTCTTCTTTGATAATTTCCTACTTCTATTGTAATATACTAAATATAAAGTTGCTTGATTACAAATTGTCTGTGTCATTGCAACAAAATGGTTATTTAGATTTTGACCTTTGACCAAAATAACGTCAAGATCAAGATGTCTTTCTCATCCATTTTCAAGCTTTGTGGTATGAATGAATATGTGTTAGAAAAAAATACAATTATTGAAAAGATGATTAAAATAAGACACCTCGAGCATGTAGAGACCATGCATGGCCTTAAAGGTTGTTGTAAGAAAGAAATATTTATTGTTTCATTGGTATTATTAATAGAAATATTTAGGAAAGATATATTCTTATTTCTACCTATGTTGTTTTTGATCAGATTGAATAATGTGGCCAAAACTATAGGAAGAAGAATTCAAGAAAATTGTCCAGATTCACATATATTTATGGTAATAAAATGTTATTTGAAATATTGCATGTGTAAATATTTGTGTTCCTTATAACTCAGTTCTTTTAATTAAATCAACTTTCTAAAAGAAGAAATTCAAGACAATTACATAATTATTTATAAATATTAAAAAAAGATAACTTCAAAATTTCGAGAAATCTTTGAAAAAGCTTCATAAAGCAACACAGTTACATACTCCATTTATTTAACTTTAGAATGATTATGATGATAATGAAAAAATAAAAAGATCAGAATATTATGTTCTTTGTTATTTCATAATTTTAACCTTAAAGGAAGTCTGTTGTATACATGCAGGTTGATAATGAAAGACTACATCCAGAATCTGTCTCAGAGTTGTACAGAATTTATTCACCAAAGGAAAATTCATGGAAACAAGAAGAAAAGTAAGACACATACTGATTTTGATCCATACATGAAATACTTGTCCCATATTTTATGTTTAAGTCATCAGGGCTCTCACACCCATTTTTGGTACTGGGGCCGGGGCCATTGAAATTGGGAAAAAAGCGACGTTTTTATAAAAATTGGGAAATTTTTACCAGTCATAATTTAAACTTACATCATTGTCTTGCTCTTAGTAGAAATATTTTTTCTACACTGACAACAGTACTGCAGGGATTAAACTTAACTTTTTGACCACTGTAGTAAATATCAGCAGATTTATTTTTACTATCAAATTGTAATTTTGAACTTTTCCTAGCATTTTTTAGCTCTACTGGTCAGAGACCAGAAGAGCTTATGCGATAGTAAGGTGTCCGTCGTCCGTCCGTCTGTCTGTCTGTCTAGCTGTCTGTCTGTCCGTCTGTCTGTAAACAATTTTTCAAAACGCTACTCCTCCTACAGTTTTGGTCTGATTTCAATATTACTTGGCACACAAGTAGACTACACTAAGATACATAAAATAGTGCATCGGTTTTTGATTTCGATGAACGGTGTTGCCATGGTTACTAAAAATAGAATTTTCTTTGAAATTCCTTTAAAACACTACTCCTCCTACAGTTTTGATTTTTTTTTTTTTTTTTTTTTTTTTTTTTTTTTTTTTTTTTTTTATTTATTTACAGATTCTAATACATACTTATACAATACAAATATACATTTTCTGTAAATTTTTTATAAGAGAGAGAGAGAGAGAGTAGAGCAAGAGAGAGAGGAGGGCGAGAAGGGATAGTAAGAAAAAAATTACAAAAACAGATTCTTCCAGGGTTTCCAGGCTTCGTCAAAAGTCAACTGATTATTGTTTTTATATGCAATATACTTGTTTATTTCATACATATATTTGATGGAGGATATCAGTCCATTCAAGGAGAGGTATTTACCACTAAATCTCATTCTGTAGATAAAATATTTAATCTGAAGAGCAATGAGATATTTTATTTTGTCTAATTTTGCAAAAGATCCCAATATGAATTCTTTTTTCAAATATACAACATTAATATGAATCTTTCTAAAACAATAACTATCAAAACTATTCAATAAGTCTTGTACTACTTCACATTCCCAGAAGATGTGTTCAATAGTTTCTGTCTCAGTTTCACAAAAAGAACACTTGTATGAATCTATTTTCTTAATTTTATGTAAAAAGGAATTTGTTGCTAATATTTTATGATTAATGCGGAACTGAAACCACTGAAGTTTTGTATCTTTTGTGAGCTTAAAAGGAAATGAAAAAACTTTTTCCCATTCACTATCATTCAAGTTAAAAATTCTATTCCAGCTAGTCTGACCTAAAGGCTTGATATCATTGCTTTTCAAAATTTCATATAAATTTCTTGATTTCTTCGCATTTAATAAACGGAATGTTTTTTGTGTAATATATGGCATATACACAGTTGGCATAGAAATTATATTTTTGGTTTTCATCCATTCTCTGATAGCAGCTATAAGTCCATTGTACTCAAGAAAGTTTGTATGGATTCCATATTTCAATTTAAACATATTAATGTCCATAAAGGAACCGTCCTCTCTTAAGAGATCACTTACGAAAAATACATTATTTTCAAACCATTTCTTATAAAAAATTGTTTTCTTGCCAATCAGTATATTTTTATTAAAAAATAGTGGTTCCATAGAGGCACTTGCTTCTGGTTCTGGTAATTTTTTAGAAAAAAATAGCCAGGCTTCTAAAACATTTTTCCAAAACATATTTTTTACATCTTTAATTTTCTTGAGAATGTATTCTTCTCCACAAAAAACTGTTTTTTTTAAATCTAAAGTTAGATATGAATATTTACCTTGCAGTATGACATTTTTCATCCATACAAGTTTCAGAGACATAATAAACTCTTTAATACTAATCATCTTGAAACCGCCATCTTTAAGATCTTTAATACAAACTCCTTTTTTTAGTCTAAAAGCATTACTCCCCATTACAAAAGAATAAAAGGTGTTTTCTAAATCTTTTATATATAAATCAGTGGGATTTGGAAGGGAGGCAAAAATATGATTCAATGTTGGCAATAAAAGTGTTTTCAAAACTATTAATCGTCCTAGTGGTGTGAGATTCCTATGTTTCCAATGTCTTATCATTTTCTTTATGTTTTCTAACTTTGAACTGAGATTCCTCGAAAGTATCTTCTGCAAATCTATATCAAATTCAATACCAAGTAACCTAAAGTTTTTCTTTCCCCACTCAAGAGATTGATTTTTACATAAAACCTCATCACTACCTTTTTTGCTACCTATCCATATTACTTGTGTTTTATCGTAATTTATATGTAAGCCGGACATTTTTGCAAAATCTCTAAGGGTACCTAAACTTGATTGTAAAGATTTCTCACTGCCATCTAATATAAGAGAAGTGTCATCAGCGAGCATCGAGATTTTCTTTTCCCCATCAATAAAATATATACCTTTGATGTCTTTGTTATTTCTTATCTTAATAGCAAGGATTTCAGCACATATCAAGAATAAGTATGGGGATAGTGGGTCTCCCTGTCGACACCCTCGATGCAAAGAGAATGTTTCAGATAAATTTCCTCCCTGATTTACTGTTGATGTAATGTTTGAATAAAATAAACTGACCCATTTCCTCATAGACTTTCCAAAATTAAAGAATTTAAGTGATTTTTGAATAAAAGCCCAAGAGACAGAATCAAATGCTTTTTCAAAGTCAACAAGAAGAAGAAGACCTGGTATTTTTTCTTCTTCTGTGTATTGCATAATGTCATAGATTAGTCTAATGTTTTCAGCTGTATGCCTGCCCTGTATAAAGCCTGTTTGATCAGGATGTATAATTTTATCTAGAAACCTTCTAATTCTATTTGCTATTGAACCAGATGCAATTTTATAAACTGTGTTTAAAAGAGAGATAGGTCTCCAATTTTTTAACAAGTGTTTAGGTTTGTCACCCTTCGGTAAGCAGGTAATGATTCCATGTCTCTGAGTTACACTTAAGATATCATGATCATATGCATAATTAATTGATCGGACAACAAAAACGCCTATAAATTTCCAAAAGACCTTAAAAAATTCTGAGGTAAAGCCATCTGAGCCAGGTGATTTATTTGATTTCATCCTAAAAAGTGTTTCCCCTGCCTCCTTCATTGTAATTTGACCTTCTAATGACCCTGACTCTTCATTGGAAAGCTTTTCAATATCTGAAAAATTCATTTCCTCCTGAAGGTTAACATTTTCAATGACATCATCTACATTTCTATATAAATTTTCATAATATTGTTTGGTTGTTTTTAAGATATCTGACTGATTATAAACTGTCTCTCCATTTTCTAATTTAATTTTTGGAATAATTTTACTTATGAAATTTCTTGACTCGAGATTACAGAAATATTTTGTCGGTTTCTCCCCTTCTTCTATCCATCTTGCCCTTGACCTTATATATACACCAGCCATTTTTTCTTTTCTAATATCTTCCAACTCTTTCTTTTTTTCTTCAAGAGTTTCATTATTGCTTGTAGACCCCTGTGCCAATTCCTCCAGGGAACTTATTTCTTTTATAAGTTTTTCTTCTTTAAAAATTCTGGATTTTTTTTTAAAAGACGAATATGAAATACATTTCCCTCTAATTTCCATAAGAAGTGTTTCTAAAAATAACTGGTCATTGACTAAAAATGCAATATTTTCATCTTCAATAGATTGCAAGTTATCTATATTGTATACTGGAACTGCATACTGCTCTTTAACCCTTTGTATCACCCCCTTAATTGAGTTTAAAAATTCTTCATCATATAAAAGAGAATTATTAAATTTCCATAATCCTTTGCCTTTCTTAAAATCATTGAACTTTAAACATAAAGTAATAATCGAGTGGTCGGACCTGTAGCTAGGTTCTATAGAACTTGTTGTAACACTTGACAGTAAGTTCTCCGATACAAGAAAAAAATCTAATCTACTTTGCTTAATGGGACTTTTTTTTCTCCAAGTATATCTCAAAGCATCTGGATTATTTTGTCTATAAATATCAACTAAGTTGTTATCTTCCATAAGCTCTATAACCCTCTGTCTTGCATTAGGGTTATTTATATGTTTATAATTATAGTAGTCTAATTCAGGATTTAAAACAAGGTTAAAGTCACCACATAATATAACATTTTCACAATTAAAATCATTAATGTACTCATGTAATCTTTCATAAAAATCAGGGTTATCATTGTTTGGTCCATATATACAACATAAGAGAAACCTTTTTTCATCAGCAGTAAAATCTAAAAGAAGAAAATTACCATCCACGTCTCCTTTTTCCTTAGACATTTTAACCTCAAAATTATTATTGAATAGAATTGCTATACCTCTTGCATTTGATGAAAAAGAACTAAAGTAACAGTCAAAACCCCACATGCTTCTGATTTCATTTTCTATTTCAGTTGTAAAATGAGTGTCCTGAAGGCAGTAAATATTATAATTCATTCCTCTAAGATAATTAAAAACATCTCTTCGTTTGCTGATATCCCCCAATCCTTGACAATTAGCTGATAATATTTTCAAAGACATGATGGATAATTAAGAAATTTACCTCTGACGGAACCTGGAGCTTCTGTACGAATCTTGAATAAACACAGAATTGAGTTGTAAAGAGAAAGATAGAGTAGAAAGGAAAGAAGTAGCAGAACAGGAAAAAGTTTGTAAAAAGCATTCAAACAGTTCAAAAATTGGCTAGCTCGAAAATTGTCAATGGGCCATATTCGCGTACAGGCAAGAAAGTCACAACCGGAATTTAATATTTTAAAGTAATAGCAAAAACTTCGACGTCAATGGACCTCAAAGTTCCGGAATAATCACATGGATGGAAATTAAAATTCCGGGTTGTCTAAATAACACTTTACACTATTTGATTTTTTCATCAAGATTGTCCAACAAGTCAAACTTCATTCGTTTATCGTTCACCAGTCCATAAACACTTCCATTAAAGTACCACGCATTGTCTATTTTTGGGTGGTCTTTTAATCGGTTTATGAGGATCCCATTCAGTCTCGTCACATCGTCTGTCAGCCAGATCTTCCCATCTGTATTCTTTTTAATATCTGACCTCTTGCGCATTATATTCGCTTTTGCTACGTTGTTCTTTAATTTCACCAGGATTGGCCTTGGTCCGTCTGCTTTTCCCGGAATTCTGTGAATTGCTATGATGTCCTTCTCCTGAATTCCAACCCCGCACCCATTAAGTAGCACATTCTGAACCACTTCTTCGACATCCTCTTTTTCTTCCTGAGGAACACCATTGATCTTAAAAGTATTTTTCCTCGAATATTGTTCATTACGATTAGCGGTCAGATATGCCTCCCGAGCGAGTTGTTTTGTGTCATTCAAGTCTGCCTCTAGGTCTTTAACTTTCTCACTTAATCTATCTATCGTCTCGCTTTGTTCTTCTAATACCTTCTTCAAACTTTCTGTATTTTCTTTTAATGTTTCACTGAATTCCTTCATTTTATCATCTAAGATTTGAGAAACAACGTTTTTCACAATGTTTTCAACAGCCTTTTCGAGATCTTTTTTCGTGATAATATCAGATTTCAAACGTCTGATCTCATCCATTAAGGACTTGTTTGTCTCCTTATTCTGGGGACTCGATTCTGATTTAGAACTTAGTCTAGTTGATCTCTCAGACATTGTCACAGAATTTTCAAGAATACGATTGACACAATACACTAAGATCAAAAGTCTATTAATAGTAACACAACAACACAGACCCGTAAGCGCTACTCACGAGAACTCAGGTTGAAGACAAAATCCGTAATAATCCGTTCTTCACACTTTTTCAAAACTCTTTTTTTAATTCTCCTGGATCAGATGCTGATGGACAACTTATATTTTGTCTATATATGTTGAATAAATATGAAATTCTGCACCTTTTCGACCCACGACAGCGGAGCTGAGCTCTATGCGTCTTTCACTACCGGCGCCATTTTTAAAAATAGTGCATCGGTTTTTGATTTCGATAAACAGTGTTGCCATGGTTACTAAAAATAGAATTTTCTTTGAAATTCCTTTAAAACGCTAGTCATCCTACAGTTTTAGTCTGATGGCAATTGCTTCTTTTCTCATCCTTTGTTATAAGTACAAACCAGTAGAGCTACAGTCTCGACAGAGACTTCTGGTTCTCCTTATAGTGATTCATATTATCTATTAAAAAAAATAATAATAATTAACCTCTTAGAAGCATTTAGGCAGTTTCATTACAGATGAAATCTGAACAGATAATATAGTAAATCAGTTGTTTAAATAAAAAAAATCATCTTTTATAAATTTAAAATTAAATCATTTAATACACTGGGGATATATTTTTTGGAAAATTACATAACTTTCTTACTCAAGTTGTTTTAGAGATCGTAAATAATTTAATGGAATGTCTAACGTTACAATGTATCTGATTGTATTTACCAAGGAGTGGAGGAAATTCGGATTTAAAAAAACGATCGTTTTTGGAAGTAAATTATAAGACAGGTAGCGCTGCAAAATGGATAAGATTATGGGGATTTATAAACTGTAGGAGCATGGTACCTATTTTTTTTTAATTGTTAGGGAATCTAATAGCAAAATAGTGAATAAAATACCTGTAGGCCTAGTGCTTCTCATTCAGTCTTGGTAATCTGAATTTTTTACAAGACCTTTTTTTCTCACAAAAGGTGGCGAACACAGGTCGCTTTTAACTCGCAATTTTTTATTTTAATTCTCATTCAAAGAGTATTTTCCATTAATTTCGAGCCCTGACATCATAGATCTTCACATTCTTCGACATGTTGTGATGACTACTTTACTACAGACGACTTTCGTTTTCATACTAAACTGGTTCCAGCATATAAACAAACTACCAGTGCATAACACGAACGTCTTTCCTTCATATCTTAACAGTGCTTTTACGACTGTCAAAGATATGCTTTTTTGTTACAGTAATGAATTTGAAGCAATCATAAATTGGGAATTTTTACCCTTAAATTTGGGAAAAAAGGTACCTTTTTCACGTTGGGAATGGGGCCGAATATCGGCCCCAATTATAGAGAATCGAGAGCCCTGGTCATTTACTTTAGCTGAATTGATTTTGGTTAAATCGACAACATTGCTTATATTCAAATCCTTCTTTTAAACTAATTTAATAAAAATTAATCTTTGAACCAGATTGGTTTCAATTATAATTAAAGGCAAATTAAGAATTTTAAATTTTGATCAGCCAGTTTTCCAGTTCATTTCCAAATTCAGAACTCTTGTCAATTTTACATAGAGTATTAGGGCTCAATAAGTATATGACATTAAGAATAATTATTGATGATTCATGTTTTGATAATGAACAGTTTTTATGTTGTTTTTTTAGCTCACCTGAGCTGAAAGCTCAAGTGAGCTTTTCTGATCACATTTTGTCCGGCGTCCGTCTGTCTGTCCAGCTGTCTGTCTGTCTGTAAACTTTTCACATTTTCGACTTCTTCTCAAGAACCGCTGGGCCAATTTCAACCAAACTTGCCACAAAGTATCCTTGGGTGAAGGGGATTCAGGTTTGTTCAAATGAAGGGCCATGCCCTCATTCAAGGGGAGATAATTGGGAATTAATGAAAATTTGGTGGCATATTTTAAAAATCTTCTTCTCAAGAACCACTGTGCCAGGAAAGATGAAACTTATGGGGAAACATCCTCAGGTAGTGTAGATTCAAGTTTGTTCAAATCATGACCCCCGGGGGTAGGGCGGGGCCAAAATGGCCGACCAAAGTTTTACATAGAAATATATAGGAAAATTCTTTAAAAATCTTCTTCTCAAGAATGACAAAGCCATAATTCATCATATTTATATGGAAGCATGCTCAGGTAGTGTAGATTCAAGTTTGTTCAAATCATGACCCCCAGGGGTAGGGCGGGGCCAAAATGTCCGACCAAAGTTTTACATAGAAATATATAGGAAAATTCTTTAAAAATCTTCTTCTTAAGAATGACAAAGCCATAATTCATCATATTTATATGGAAGCATGCTCAGGTAGTGTAGATTCAGGTTTGTTCATATCATGACCCCCGGAGGTAGGGCGGGGCCAAAATGGCCGACCAAATTTTACATAGAAATATATAGGAAAATTCTTTAAAAATCTTCTTCTTAAGAATGACAAAGCCATAATTCATCATATTTATGTGGAAGCATGCTCAGGTAGTGTAGATTCAGGTTTGTTCATATCATGACCCCCGGAGGTAGGGCGGGGACAAAATGGCCGACCAAATTTTACATAGAAATATATAGGAAAATTCTTTAAAAATCTTCTTCTTAAGAATGACAAAGCCATAATTCATCATATTTATATGGAAGCATGCTCAGGTAGTGTAGATTCAAGTTTGTTCAAATCATGACCCCCGGGGGTAGGGCAGGGCCAAAATGGCCGACCAAAGTTTTACATAGAAATATATAGGAAAATTCTTTTAAAATTTTCTTTTCAAGAATGACAAAGCCATAATTCATCATATTTATATGGAAGCATGCTCAGGTATTGTAGATTCAAGTTTGTTCAAATCATGACCCCCGGGGGTAGGGCGGGGCCAAAATGGCCGACCAAAGTTTTACATAGAAATATATAGGAAAATTCTTTAAAAATCTTCTTCCTAAGAATGACAAAGCCATAATTCATCATATTTATTTGGAAGCATGCTCAGGTAGTGTAGATTCAAGTTTGTTCAAATCATGACCCCCGGGGGTAGGGCGGGGCTAAAATGGCCGACCAAAGTTTTACATAGAAATATATAGGAAAATTATTTTAAAATCTTCTTCTCAAGAATGACAAAGCCATTATTCATCATATTTATATGGAAGCATGCTCAGGTATTGTAGATTCAAGTTTGTTTAAATCATGACCCCCAGGGGTAGGGCAGGGCCAAAATGGCCGATCAAAGTTTTTAAAGATATATATAGGAAAATCATTAAAATGCATTTTCTAAAAAATAACAAATCCATGATTGGTCATGGGACTACTTTTTGATTTAAACTTTACAATAAAAAGCCATTTTCTACTTTTTCCAACCCTTAGTGCTCAGGTGAGCGATGTGGCCCATGGGCCTCTTGTTCTGGAATATATTTTTGATTTAAAACAAAAAAAGAAAGAAAATCATCAAAATTTTTCTTTATTCAATTCCTTGCATTATGTGATCTAGGTATATCCCAATAGCATAAATATAGGGTGAAATGAAAACTAATTATAAGATTTTTTTCCCCAGTAAAGAGACAGTGACGGAGGAAACATTACGGACGGCAGCCATGTTGTTGTCATCTCAATCGTTTAGGGAAGTTGATGTGGTGGACTTTGATAATCATTTCAACGACATCACTCAGGACTGGCGGAACCTCCAGATAAACCAAATGTTAGAGAAGTGTACTTGATGACTGTGGCAATTAGCCTTTCTGTTACAGAACACAAGAAATGATACCAAATGTGGACCTGCTCATAGCTATGATGGTGCAAGACTCCGTGCCAGGTTTCGGTGGAAAATGGAGAAACTTGGTGAATTTGATTACGGATTAAAATTAACGATTATATTATGTGTTTTTTAATTAATAAGTAAAAGTGTTGTGGTGTAATAACCATCAAAATTGACCTTTATGTAGAATTTTTTTTTTACAACTATAAGTGGTTGTAAAAAGAAACCCCCTTCTCTGTATATCTGTATCCTTGTCAGATGATGAAATGAACAAATGCAGACCAAAGTTGCCATTCAATCATGTAAAGTACATCTTTAGTTTATTATATGCAGGGCATTTTAGAACTTCAGGTGCTGAAATCATGATTTTGTGTATATTCAAATGAAAGTGTAACTGTAAGCATTTTCCCTATGGTTAGCATTAAAGAAAAGTGAAAGAAAAGAAACAAACTCATAATCTTAAAAAATCCATTTCAGCTTTCTAGCGGTGCTTTCACTGAATTAGATTCCTTCACCCACCTATGAGGAGTATTGTGTTATATTGCTGAATAGCGTTTAAATCAAATACACATTGATTGTGAAAAATCAATCCCCAATCCCCAAAACAGTGAAAATCTCTGATCCGCCTACAAGATTTATTTTCTTTGTATAATTAAATCATAACCATTTGCAACTTGACATAAGTAATAGATTTGTTGAATGTGAACAATTTCTCATATCCAAAGCATCACTTGTAAAAATGTTTCATGAAAACTATTGTAGGTAAATTTAGAACTAAGAATTGCCTGAGTGTGTTTGTAAGAGCAAATATTTTGCTCCATTTAATAAAAATGGTGTTATTTTTTCTTAATACATTTTCCATACCTCTGTACACAGGGCTTTTGTAATTTTAGTTCATGTACAAGTACTTATGTATTAGAATTTTGACCTGATTTAATATTTATTTTACCAATTTTCACGCCCCAACTACCTAAAGATTTGCCACTCAAAACGCTGAATTTTATTCAGCCCTGCATATTTTATACATCTTAAAGATATAATATTTAGAATACCTATCTTTTCCACTTCTTTGGATCCACAAATTGTACATACATGTACAATATTGAAGTCTATCAAGTCTTCATCTGATTTATCACAAAACATTACCTAATCATGTTGCTGACTGTTTTCACAGTGTTTTGTCCATCATCTCTTGTTAATCCTCATCTCTCACATAATGTGTATATGCAGCTTGTGAGAATAAATTGAACAAGTTAATAGAAAAAGCATGAATCAAGTAATAAAATAGATAATTCAATGTCCTGTTAATAAATGTTGGCATTAAAAAAATCTGTTCAGAGTGAAAGGTTGATAATTATGGTAGCCTAAATTTTGATGGATAGTATTGTGTTTTTACCTCATTGCTTTTGTGAATCATGTCAATGCTTTATAGGGTCTGATTTATATTATATGTACCACTGCCCTGTTATAAAGAACCTAGTCAGTATCTCTCTGCTCTTATTTCCCAGTTAGAAGAAATAAATGTTTGTAACTCAGGAGGCATGTGTAAATCTGTCTTTTTTTCATATTTTAAAAATATTTTGATGTTTAAGTACTTATTAGTTTAAAAATGTTACGATAATTTTGAAATATATGTATACATTATATGTTCTCTGCATAGTGACCATATTGTATGCCCCTTGTATGGCCAGAGTGAAAAAGGTGCATTGCAGTAGTCAATACACCCAAATGACCTAATGTATGAACATTTATTACTATTATGAACATGTGCGACTGCGAATAGAATATATGTAGCTACAAATTATTTATTTACAACACTAAGCATGTCCAACATTCCTAGTTATAAAAATAATGTAGTACGAAGCAATTACATGTATGTATTATATTCTTTGTCACTGTCTTTAAATACACTGTAGATTTTCATTTTTGTATGTGAACTAGTATGTCCTAAATTTAAGGTTTGCATAGGGAAAGGGGGGATATATGAGTAAGAAATATTCTTGAATATACATGTACATTTCAAGATCTATGAAAATGTATGTTTATTAAAATTTGAGAATGAAAAAAGTACTTTGAACACATTAACTATGATTATGCAGAGAAATTAAATAATTAAAATATATACACTATAAGCTTTCAGTTGTATCTTGCATTTCAAGGAGGAAATGAATTTTCAAATTCTAGTTTGCTGAGGATGTATGTATGTATGTATATAGCATACAAGCTGCAATAATGTAGCCCTCTCCCTTTTTAGCTCACCTGAGCTGAAAGTACAAGTGAGCTTTTCTGATCACAAGTTCTGGACCACTTTAAACCAAACTTGGTACAAAGCATCTTTGGGTGACGGGGGGAGGGGGGTTGTATTGTTAAAAATGGGGCCAAGTAGTGTAGATTCTAAATTGTTCAAAACATAGGGGGCTACAATAGGGAATCCAATTTTTACATTGAAATATATGTAGATTCCAATTTGTTCAAATCAGGACCCCATGAGGGTAGTGCGGGTCACTAAGTATTACAAAGGGGGAAATCTGTCAAAGAACTACTCAGGTGAGCGATGTGGCCCATGAACCTCTTTTAATGGGGGTGGAGAAAACATCTGATTAAAAAAAATGAGAGAGAGAGAGCTACATTTTTGTAGATAGAATACCATCATAGGCACTCAACGATGGATTTTTACAAAATATACAAAAATATAACCCTGTACCTGTGAATCATTAGTATTATTTAACAAGAAAACGTAAAATGTCAGGTGCCTTTGTTCGATACAAATAATTAAGAAAATTTGGTCACTATTTTTCGCAATCAGATCTTTAGTTATTAATAACCCGTAATTATACTACTGTATGTGCTAAATGTTAGTTGTATTTATAACATATAGCTGCAGAACTGTAGCTCTCCGAAAAAAGATATTGACAGACCGGAGAGCTACAGTGCCACCAATTGAAAGAACTGTTCTTGTGCACAGAAAGTTGCGCTTGATTCTGGATTATAATTCTTTCTTTTTACCTCAATTGCAAAAAAGCTAGATTTTAAAAATAATTCCCTACTCCTTTAATCAAATACTCTCGTAGTTAAAATCTCCACGAGGCACGGTGGACTAAATTATCTTGCAAACCAAAATGGCGGTAGAAATAGACGAAATTTTCGATGATCTCAATTTCAGGGCCAGGACTGGGGGGCTATTAACAACAATTATAAGGAATTTTTTTGTTGAGGAAACAGTGAAAGAATATGCTAGGAACAAACGGTTAGTAATACCGGTATTTTGAGATGACAGTTTTAAGTATATGGAGAAATGAACTGAGAAACAGCACACTTTTTTTTGCTCAATAAACTTTATACAAGTTTTTTTTAGTGGGTGATACTGTAGCTCTCCAGTATGTAAAAATATATTTTTTCGGAGAGCTGCAGTTCTTCGGCTATTTATAACTCAACTGAAAGCTCAAGTGAGATTTTTGTTCACCAGATGGCCAATGTCTGTTCATCTACTCTCCATCCATTCTCTAAAGATTTATATTTTCATTTTTTCCCCTCAAGAACCTCTAGACCATTTTAAACCAAATTCAGTACAAAGCGTCCTTAATCAATAAGAAACAAAATTAGGGTAGAGTCATTAGAAAAAAAAATATTAGAGCTACTGGGCCAGAAAATATGAAACTTAGGTGGATTTTAAGCTTCCTGAGGTAGTGTATAGCAAAACTCATTTAGTACGAATACAGATATCAGGAATTCACAGAGATTTTTTAAATCCCGGCGAAATCTTTACAAAGTCTAGGAAAATATAGTACGATTCTAACGAACACTGATATAACGAATTTACAGATATAGGGAACTGATTTTCTGTCCTGTAGAGGTTAAAAGTAACGAAAATTACATCTTTTATAACGAATTTTCAATATCTTAAACTCCAGAATATTGAATTGACATATATTTTTCATAAGTATTTAGATATGAAATTCCATTTATCAGAAATATTTAGTACCCAAAGTAAAATTTTGTATTTAATACTCCCCTTTAACGAATTCGTTTTTTATTCACATGTCCCCAGGGCTTTGCAATATAACCGATTTTTTTTTTTTTTGGGGGGGGGGGGGGTTATTATCAAACTGTAGCGGGAGGCTTCTCTTTTAAAAAAAATCACCGATTCAAAACCAAAACAGATGAAATTTATGTGGAACCTTCCTTATGTAGATTATGAATGGGAGATGAAGTGCGGCCAAACTAGTTAATCAAATTTTTACATTAAGTATAAGTAGTACTTACTGAGGGATAGGCATCAAGTTGTTTGTGGAGGACCAATGTTCATGAATGTTGTGGGTCATCTTTACCCATGAATATACATTCCCAGGAACCTTTATTTTGTAAACTTATCGATTCGTTGAATCTACTTTTTAAATGATCTCTTACAAAATGATGTCCCCACTAATAAGTAAAATTTTGCTTATCCAGGAACGTTGACGTTTTTGCTTGTCAAAAATTTCAATAGGTTATGCACATCCTCGTCAAATTACTGCTCATACAACGATATTTATCTAAGATCTTTTTCACAGAAGTAAATTCTTTGTAAGAGTCCAACTTGCGTACTTTAGGCCTATCAATAAAAAAAATCAAACAAAGGGACATAACTCGTCTATGAAGGAGGCATTCGGAAATACTCGGAAATATTGAGTCATTTGCGTATGAAAAAGACAGAGTTTTTCCGAATGAGAATCCGGTTACCAAGGAAGTAGATCCTATTGTCAACAAAGAGTTACGGAGCGCGAAAGTGTGCGGACGGTGTAAAGGAGCAGAGATAGAAAAAGCAAAATACACAAGGAAGAAAACATTCAGACAGGTTTGGTCCATACAAACATGTTAAGTCCTGGGGCAAACTTCATTTATAAATGTATTTTATCTTCCGAAATCATAATACAAACCCTTAACTTGTTGTAATTCATTGGTTACTATTATCAACGATTACACTCATAGAGAGCTGCATGATACATGAGAAGTAAAGCTATGCTGGGCGGACATACACAATTTTCACGCACAAAAAGGAAGATTAGTTTAAGCAAACATGCAAATTTACTATGTATCAGGTTCGACAAAACTATTTGTAAAGAAAGAGGAACATTCATTGAACAACATGTTGAACTAGGCCTATAAGTTTCTGCTGCTCTATCAACCTCTGAACCTGCTAGCATTTTACAAGGTATTGAATATTTATCAGTTGCTTGTATATATTTACTAGGCCTAGTAATTGATTATTTTTTGATATTTGACGTTTAGTTGATGTTTGAGACGTGACCTAAAATATCTCTTAAAATTCCGGATTTTTACACAGTATCCGATCCGAACGTTACTTGTGGAAATAACCCGGATACTGTTACCATGACTTCATTCGAGTTGTAGGCCGCGAAGGCTTTGGATGCACGGGAAAAAGGGGAGGTTAAAAATAGAAATACAAAAAAAACAACAGGTTTGGGGATCTTAATGCGTTTTATGTCAATGTTTGCATCTCACGTTTATGATTTTAACACAAAACAAAAATGGAAATAATCAAAATATTATTATTTATGCATTGTTATGAAATAAGCACAATTACCCGAACTTCTTCACCTCAAGCAGAAGAAAAACATACCACGTTACAATACTCTCTAGAATGATTATATGATCTCTGTTTCGTTTATAACACACATACTACTATTAGCTGAATTTTTATTTTTTATTAAGAGAAATAATCAATGATATTTTTGGGCTTATATATTACTGCAAGGCCTAGAATGACATTTCAAAATGTTCAGATGGTCCAAAGTGCAAGTTTAAAAAGATATTTCCCGTTACAAGCATAACAAAAACAA